CTTCTATAGATCTTTTGATCAAGATGCTAAGTAATAGTATACAGGCACCATTCAGTTCTGGTATCATGACAAAGGAGTGACTTGTTCATGGAGGCAATTAGCCACACTTTCCATAGCCTCCTCTTATTCCTGACTCACCTCCTTCTTCTGTCACTCTAGGTGAACAGAGAACAACTGTTTTGCCTTGGATGCTGCATCTCTGGTGGTGTGGTGGATAAGGCATTTGGCTGCTAACCCGACGGTCAGCAGTTCAAAACCACCAGCCACTCCTCGGAAGAGGGGACAATCTGCTTCCTTTAACATTTACAGCCCTGGAAACCCAATGGAGGTCACTATGAGCTGGAATCCACTCGATGGCAGTGAGTTTGAGTTTTGGATTTTTGGCTGCTTGCAAGCTTTTAAGACCCTAGTAGTACAAGGAAGTAGGTCTTAGAGCAGAAGCACTAAACATATTATTAGGCCAACTAAGGGGGATGTCCCATGAAACCATGACCCTAATCCCCCAAACCAAGGAACCAAATCTCATGAAGTGCTTGGCTATATATAAGCAGCCTCAGCAGCTACTCTTTTCCCATTGTTGTAAATCTATCTATCATACAACTTCTGGCTATTTAACTTTTTACAGGTGTACAACTTATTGACACCAATGACAGTAATTGGTTGCATAGCCCTAATCTTAATCAGTGTGGTATTTTCCCATCACTGTTTACTCCCATTTTCCCCTTGCTCCCACTTCTGGTAACCACTAATATACTTTTTTTTTATACATGTGCCTTTTCTTTCTTTTTACGTAAGTGAGGTCATACAGTATTTCTTCTTTTGTGATTAACTTATTTCGTTCAGCATAATGTCTTCAAGCTCCTCCATACTTCAGCATGTATCAAGCAAGACTTTATAGGTATTACTAGTTGAGTAATATTCCACTCCATGTGTGGGACTTTGTTAGAGTCCCAAGGTTATGCTGTTTTGCTTATGCAGCACTGAAGACGTGCAAGCAGTTTTCTGTACTCTGCAAATAAGTT